GGCGGCTCCCCGCGGGGAAGGGCGCGCGGCGGCCGCTCCGCGGGGGCGGTGGTTGCGCTCCCCGCAAAATGGCAGCGGCGGCGGCCGCGCTTCCCGTGGCCGGGGGCGATCCGGGCTTGTCCCCGCCGCGCGCCGCCTGGGAGCCCCGCGCAGCCCCGCGGGAAAGCTGTCTTCCACTATCTCCCATTTCCGTAGTTGCCGCGCAGGGAAGCGCGGCGTTACGCGCGGTTTCTGAGGGGAGGCGGGCCGGGCTGGTGGAGGAGCCGGGGCTGCGGATAGCGGTTTCGCCGAAATAGCGGCGTTTGTAGTGCCCTGTGGAGCCGTGGTGCCCCGTGAGGGTGATACTGTTAAAATATGTATTAACGGACTGGTGAATAGTGCTTTATGTTGAGTTGAGGGATGCTTATTTATTTATTTATTTATTTATTTTAATAGCTCAGGAACCAGGAGGTCACAGAAAACACATTTTTAGTCCCGAAGCACCTGATGAAGGAGATAACTCCCTCCCCCTCATCCGAACTCTTCAGGAATGGGAATGTTTCCGCCTCCTGTTTTTCCCTGTGTTCCTAAGCAGATCACCGCTAATTATCAGGTACTGGATTTCCTTCCAGGCGATGGAAGAGGCTCTAAAATCCCATAGGAAGTGTTGTGTTCCGTACAGGTAACCGGATCGGCCACTGGTAGCTGCTGAAATACGGAAYTGGAAATTTATTTGGCACCAGTGCATTGCAGGTGGTTTGTCACAAATGCTTTTAATTCTCTTTCGGTCGTGAGCTTTCAGTAACGGAAGAGAAGGGTTATTATTTGAAAATGCAGGTTCAACTGGCTCTTAGATCCCTGTTGCTAGTTGTTCTGCCTGCCGTATGGTGAATGAGATTTGTATGAAATCAAAGCTTGCAGGAAATGGAGGCTTTTAACCAAAAAGATTACATTACAACAACAAAAAAAACAAAAACAAACAAAAAAAAAAAAAGACAAAAGAAAGTCAAGGCTTCACAAAAGCTATACATAAGACTAAGACACTCTGGGCCAAAAAAAGAGAATGGCATTAGCAAAAAAAGAGGGGACCAACAAAATTGTTTGCCCAATGAACCAGATTAAATTTGCAAAAGATTGCACAGAATCTTTTAACATTTTTTAAAGCAGGAGGTCTGATACACAAACTTAAGTGGAAAAAAAAATATGCAATATGTAATTGCCACCAGAATGACACAGTCTTGCCAGCTTTAGCATCAAGAGCTGATACTTCATGCAACCCAACTTCTGGATTTGCACTCGTGCCACATTTTCCTTCAAAATTAGGTCAGATCTTTTTTTTGGAAGTGCTTTTGCTCCTTGGAAAGCCTTTAATAGACTTAATACACTGCAAACTTTATACATAATGTAACAAAAATATCAATATTTCACTTTATTTTTTGCAAAAATAACTTGAAATTTTAGTCAAAGCAAATAAAACTTTTTGTTTGTTTGTTTGTTTTTCATTAGAAAGGCCCTTGTGAATAATGCTGGAACAAACAATAGCATGTTTGTCACATGCACACAATGTAACATAGAAAATGCTGTTCCCTAGACTTACACTTATCATTCTAGCATTGAAATTTAATGGCTTTTTTTTTCCCCCAAACTCTTTATAATTAGATCATTTTGTTCTTTTTCTAGGTTTTGCTCTTTCTTCAAGTTACATCTGTTGCTTTCTGCTGTCCTTCTACTGGCCACCGAGAGAAGAGAGGCTTGAACAGAGGTGTGTGAGATCAGAGCTGGAATAAAACAAGAAATTTCAATCGGTCTTTTCTGAGATCAGCAAAAAGAATTAGAAACACCAAAACAAAGAGCAAAGTCAACAGCAGRATCAGTCCTGGGAAAATTGAGAGCTACTGGAATGGAATTGTAAGTAAACAAATTAAATGATCTAAGGCTGATAAGATAGTGACAGCAAGAAATAAAATGCAGCTGTTTTATCCTTTCTTGGCCTTACCTGACAATTACTTGTCATTTCCTCATGTAAGAAATTACTTTAAGCCAGTTTAAGAAACATCTCTGTGATTTGGTTTCCTAAAACTTTCATGGTCCCTAAACTTGGTGTCAGGGAATCATCCCTGAAGTACCGAATTATATCCAAGCATCTTTCCTAATAATCTTAAACCAGGATTCTTGATCCATAAAAACTCTGTCTCACGGATGAGCAAAATAAAGCAAAACCTGTTTTTTTTTTTTTTTCCCTAGCTTTGGAAAGAACTTGTCAAAAAGAAACCCTCCCAAACACAGATGTTTTAGGGAGTAGCGTGGGCCTCACACAGCTGAGATGTAGAGCTATGCTGACAACTGCACTTGCCACTCCCACCTTATTTTAGGCAGATTTTGATGAATCATAGTTGTAACATGTGATTTGAGATCACTTCTTATGCATTAACATGTCTAAATTGTGACCATGCTGATTATTTTTAAACATAAAAAATGTTTAACCCCATCTGCTATTCTCCAGCTGAAAAGTGGCATTTGCAAAGGCTCAGTTAGTAAGAAACTTGCCCTCGGTGAGCTATCTGAATTGTGCCAAGGAAGCATTAAATGCTTTAAATCTATAAATGCTAGATGTCCCGTTTACTTCTGTCACCAAATGACAAGTAATGATGACCAGCAGCCATTCTGTAATAATCCTCCAAGGTTTTGCATAGCATCGGGAGGGAGGTGGACACAGGATCCTTACCAAGACTGCACATTATTAYCTTTAGGGCTAAGAACTGTAGCATTCCCTTGCTGCACAGTAGAGATGCACAGTACTTTGGTATTATCTTTAAAGAGGGTTTTCAGATTACTGAGACCTGGTCCAATGGATTCAACGTCCTGTTGGATTCAGCATTCATTGAAATGCAAGAATTCCCAAGTCCAGGTGCTTGCTACTACGCACCTCACAAGCTTTGTTACTCAGGAGCTTGAGCCTAGCTTTGGTAAGGAAGGGGCTGTTTCAGTTATATAACTTGAACTTCATATGACACAAAAAATGATCTTTTGTTGTTTATTTAGAGGTTAGTTAAAAGAACATGTTTTAACATCTCTTGCTACAGAGTGTTCAGGGATTATTCAATGTGGTTCGCACCGCAGCGTCAGATAAGACGGAAAAAGCCAGACCTTGGCCAGCTGCATGTCAGTCATTTCCTTCCTCCTCCGTGCRAACTTCTGCAAACTCCTGTTCTTAATCCTTGTCTCTCACCCCTGCTTGACAAATCACCTCGTGCTGTCAGCGTTTCACCCCAAATGCCGTGCTTTATTTTCAGGAAATGTCAATTACGTAATCTTAGTGACACAGTAGCTATAGCTGTTCCCTGCTTTTAGCTCTGGGTTTAGTGGGATGGGGGCTAGGAAGTTACCTTCAGCTGTGCAAGCAACAATTACCYGTAACAATAAATTCCTTAATTGCACGTGTCATTGAGACAATGGCTCCAAACTTGACTTTTCCTCCTCCTATCACCGCCCCACMTATGAATGAGGAGGAGGTGGTCAACTTGAGATCCTTGGGGACAGCAACTATCTAAGACTACAATATAATAATWATAATTATTATATGGTTATATATAAGAATATCGAGTTTTGTTTTGGTCTCGCTTACAAAAAAAAAATGAGACTGGCTACATAAGGGGAGTATTTTCTCTGGAAACAAGCACCTTGGTGAAGCGCCGTATCGCCCTGTGTCCCAATATTGTCCCTATGGGGACAATAACCGCGTGGGGACATCCAAGGAATTTGCGCCGTGTCCCAGTGACCGCTGGGGGAGCCGCGCTCCCCGCCCGGACCCACCTCGCCGCAGCACCGGCCTCGGGAACCCCCGGAACCTCCGCATGCGAGCGCGCCTCGCCACCCGGAGCCCCCACAGCGTCGCACGGCCCCTCCTCCGATTGGCGGCCGCGCCGCCCGCGTGACGCCGGCGGCCGTCGCGATTGGTCGGTTCGCGGGGGCTGCTGTCGCGGGCCGGGGCGGGAAAGAGGCGGGGGGGGGGGTGTCCGCCATGGCGAGCGTGCACGAGAGCCTCTACTTCAACCCCATGATGACGAACGGCGTGGTGCACGCCAACGTCTTCGGCATCAAGGACTGGGTGACCCCCTACAAGATGGCGCTGCTGGTGCTGCTCAGCGAGCTGGGCCGCGCCGGGGCGCAGCTGGCGCTGCTCGAGCGCCGCCGCCTCAACCGGCTGCTGCTGCCGCTGCTGCAGGTGCGCGCGGGGCCGCGGCCGCCCCCCCCCGCGCCGCCCCGCCGCCGCCACATGTCGCTCTCGTGTCCCCCGCAGGGTCCCGACCTGCCGCTGTGGCGCCTGCGCAGAGCCATCGAGGAGTCCTGCCCGGCCCTGGCCGCCTCCGTGACCGYCAGGTGCGCGGGGGGACCGCGGGGCGGCCCGGGCCGCGAGCCCGCCGCCTGCCGGCAGCGCCGGGGCCCGGCCTCGGCACCCTCTTCGTCCAAAGAACCCTTCAGGAAAGAAAAACACCCGCATTATTTACYATCACGTTCATAATTTATCCATTTGTTGCTTATTCGCTTTATTATACTTTATTATACTATGGATAACACACATTTTTGTTCACACATCTGTGTACTTTTAGCATAATGACCTGGCAGCCGTTTCTGGATACACTTCTTCTTTCATTATCAGGAGTATCTATTTTTTTATTTATAGGAGGTATTAAGGAGTATTTATTTGCTACGTCACATTAGACCCCTAAATAAAGGTGACCTTTCTTCCCTCCTTCCCGCTTAGGCTGAAGCTTATGGCAGAAGGGGAGCTGAAAGATATGGAACAGTTTTTTGATGACCTTTCAGATGCGTTTACTGGGACGGAGCCAGAAGTTCACAAAACAAGTGTAGTAGGT